TTTTTAAAAACTGACATTAGATTCGTAAACAGCGACCACGAAAACCGCCGTGTAACAATTTCAAAGCGAATCAAATTATATTTTAAAATAGTTGTATTTACGGACATTGTGAGTCAATTTTTAAGTTTTACAACTTAAAAAAATCATTTTTGACAGCTAATGTAGTTTGTTGTTTTCAATATCGCTATATCTTCGTGAAGCACACATATCAAGCTTTAATTTGACTCTTAGGACAAGTCTCTAGCACGTCAGGTTTGCCCAGTAGAAATTTTCAAAAACTGACAAAAACGTGATTTTTTGAACTTTTACCTTCAATTTTCTCAAAATCCTGACGTGATGGGAGGTTTTCGTTGCCAGATTCGGATTCAGCGCACCAAAAACTACGGGAAATGACTCCTCCATCTCTGACAACCGAATTTTTTTTTTGCAGCCTTGTGTAATAACAAGCTGTCCCCATTTACCCCAAAAATTTGAAAACTCAGGGTAAATGGGGACAGCTTTTGTTATTAACCAAATTAAAGTGAATTTCTGTTATGGGAGTCATAAGGAATAAGAAAAAAATTTTTGTCTGATTTTGAAGTCTGTTTTCTTTGAAATGCTCGACAAAATACTAAAACAGTATGAATTTGATTTCCAAATTTTTATGCATTAAGTGGTAACTTGTATTATCTTGCTGGTAATTGTTGAGATAAAAGCTTGGCAATACTCAGAACCTCTTGTAGGTGATCTGAGGTTAAAATATTGACGTTAAACTTAATTTTAAAACTGTAAATTAAGCTCCAACACCTCTTGTCCCTATTTACCCAAACTGACCCTACATAATTAAAACATTTCGTTTTTATCGGTTTCGGCTGTCATCCCTGTTTTCTCGAATTAATTTTTTTGTACGCATACTAATAACGCTTATTATTTCTATAAAAAAAACAATTGTTGTCAGAGTGTATCCGATAACTAGCAAATAGAAGACAATCAGGAGTAATTTTTCCGTGCTTATATCTTCTGGTGGTGCAACTCTACTCACTTTGTTGTCTTCTTTTGAAAGAATTTCATATAGTAAACCGCCTTCTGATGATCTTAGTAAAATTTCATTGAAGCGATCAAGAAAAGGAGATCCGTACCTTATAATCCAGCTCTTGGTGTAATAGGGCAAAAGTTGATCCTGCAGTATTCTGCCATTTAACTTTTCCTCCGTAGCAATGAAGTCATTTACATGTTTGCCAGCATTAAATGTAATACAAGTTACATTTTGATATTTTGATAAGTAAGCCAAGCATTCGTTTACACGGTCTAAATTAGAAAGCTCGACTGATTTTGTGCCTAGTTTTCGAATGTAAGAAACAGGACTTGCAATCAGTGCTTTCTTTACAAAGGGATGCATAATTGGCGTCAATGACGAATTAGCAAGTTCTTCGAGATTTTGAATTTGCGGTTCGGATAGAAAATTGATATCCAGAATTACTGAATAGAAGTAGCCTGAGTAGACAATGCAACTCAAGACTAATAGACCAAAAACAATTCTTTCAGCTTGCTTTTCTGGTTCTCTGACAATTGACAATCCAATTAGAATTTGACTAATGTTGAAAGTTTGCCAAGTGTTTCTGTCGAATTTTAACATCAGAGTTATAATGCGAATTGTGCCAATTGCAATAGTGGTTGCAAGCAACATGTAAATGAATTCCTTCGATATTACGATCACTTTAGTGAATCTTGCGGCATTTGGAATCACAGCCTTTACAAGACTAAAATCTACAATGCGCATACGTAGCATATTTGGGTCATATTTTATATTCTCCCACATGAAGATATTTAAAATAATTTCCATTTTGTTTCTCTGAAAAATTTTTAAAAGTTTAGCAATACCTGTAACATTGGACATGTAAATGTTAACCTTACAATGCATTACTTTTGAAAAAATCTCTATCAATCTTATGTACATTCTATATTGCATCATCTGTTCCTGATATTTAAAGATATTAAAGATGATTTTTATTGGATAACCCTGAAGATTCAGCAGTTTGTTTGTAAACCATTTCTTTTCTGTTGTTACTATTTGAGCGCTGTAATTTTTTGCAAATGGATTAATTTCATGCAAAATGGGCAATTTACTGATTTTCAATGCCAGTGATTTTTCACTTACGGGGAAATGCTGCATTATTGCAACGTCAAGAAAATCTTGTAACCAGAAGTATTCAAGTAATTCTTTGTTCAAGTGAGGATTTCTTTGAGAAAAGATGTTAATCAAACATCTAGGATAGGAAAATCCTTGCGATAGTTGTTTCAATTGCAGAAGTATATTGTACACGAAGCCTCTAGTGTAATTATGATTGCCATTGAGAATTATAACGAACAATGTCGTTCGTCTTGGTCTTTGTATCAATGGTGGAAAGAGTTTCTTCAGATCGTATTGCATTCTATTTAAACTAATACTCAAGGATGGAATGTGTTGAGTAACATCTGTTATCAAGGTATCAATGCTTGAACTTGAATTCAGAAATACCTTATAATCATTGATAAATACTACCTGATACAGTTTTGACTCCTCTTTTAAATATTTTATTAATCCTCGAGTATAATCGCTATTGGTTGTCACTCCAAACATGAAGGCACAAGAAAATGCCAAACAGAAGCCACAGTTTAGGAACTTTACCATAATTTGTCGTTTTAACAATAAACAACATGTTTATTGTATTTCTTCGGTATTGAATCTTTAACAATTCAATACTCTTAATAAATACTAAACTTTACCACATGCAAGACAAACTATGTTTGCAGAAATTGTTGACGTCTAAAATAAAAATGAAAACAGAAAGAATTATTACTATCAGATATGTAAAAAGAGATAGCAACCAAATATTTGTGAAATGTTGGAAAATTTTACAATGTTTTTCTTTTGAAAACAGATAACGATATTTTTCAGCAATTTTGAAGAATTTTAAAATATTTTACGTAGATATTATCTTTTTTTTAAAAAATAAAAAACTAACTTCAATTAACGGTGTTCTGCAATGGTAAGCAGTGGTTGTCTTTCAAAAATTGTCTCCTGGTAGGTGCATTTAATTTAAAAAAGATTTTTCTCTCAACTCGGATAGAAACGGAAAAATCGAAAAAATACCATTTATCCTGAACTACTTACTTACTATGTACTTTAATTTACGCACAAGAAATTGATTTATTTCATTAAATGACGACAGGAAGTAAAAATAAGAAATTTTTTTGTAGCCGACAGGTGCTGACTCAGACGGTAAATTTCAGTACTACTCAAATGTTTATACTCTTCCTATTTTACTTACAGTCGTTTTATATGTGAATAAATTTTTAATTTCTGGGAGGCAAATGAAAGTACACAAACTCAGGATAATTGGTATTTTTTCCAATTTTGCCATTTCTGTCTGAATTGGGAGAATAATATTTTTAAAATTAAATGTACCTCATTTTTAAAAGACAACCACTGCTTGCCATTAAGGAACACCGTTAAGTGATAATAATCTGATTTTTTCCTACAATTTATATTAATTTTCATGTATTTTTTTTTTCTAAAGTAGGTCACCAATAATAGTTATGGAGGAACAAATATTTCTTTTAACTTTGGGATCGATATTTTTTTCATTTCTATTAAAGTTCTAAAACTTAGGATATATTGTTTAAAAATTTGAAATTCTAAAAAATGTATGAACCATTTTTTGTATTTAATGTAATTTTATATTTTATTTTTAATATTTATATTTCAGTTAATTAAAATGTTTTTATTTTCTTTAGTACAAATTATTATTATTATTATTTATTATTATTATTAATTGGTTTTACTTACGTATCTCTGATACAAATTATAATATTTCTTTATAAGAACAGTCGTCTGATAGCCTTTATATTATTTTATTTATAAGAATAGACGTCTGTTAGTAATTAAAATATTCCTTATACAATTTTGCCTGATCAGAACTTCACACTAATTATAATTTTCGACTAGTATGTTGTGAGCACGGAACAAGAGTGACCATGCCGGTTATTGCCGGCGTTTCGTGAAAATGATCACGTGACGACGAACACCGCCATGACACATCCAGGGACGTGCGCTCAACTTTTTAACCCAGGGACGACTAAAATTTTCTAATAACACATGTAAAATATATTCCTGTTACACGATAAAAAAGAAAGAACACATAATCGTTTAAAATCGATTAGGGGAAGGTGGGGTAATGGAAGCTTTTAAATTTCAAGTACACAGAGACTTTGAATTTCGTGGAAATAATTCGGAAAACTTGAACAATCTTCCTGTATGTCATACGAAGATAAATGGTCACATTTCTGATAGATTTGTAGAAACTACAAGGAATAATCAAGTTTTCGAGTTTTTCTTCTTAAATGGAAAATATTTCCGGAGATCATAGTAAATAGTTAAAAATTTATTATTTAATTATGTTTTGTGATTTTATTAGAGATAAATATGTGTAGATTTAGATACATGAATAAAAATAGAGGTAATAATTAAATTTGTGTTTTCTTCTTTTTTTCAAATTGTGGCCTGTGAAAATTCTTTGGGGTAATGGGAAAATTGTGTCAGACAGCAGAGTTTCGTTACCTCGATATGGCTCTTCTTATTTTTTTGAAAATTAAACAAGATTCATTTATAAAATTTGATATTGTTGCATATTTAATTGCTAAAAATCAATATTTGTGTTTTATTGTCTAAAATGTGTTATTATTAGATATTCTAATACTAAAGAAGATGTAAGTCTTTTTTATGTCTTAAATATTTTGTAAAATTTACACCATTAATGATTTCAAGAACATTCAAAATCGAGTTCCAGTCCAAATAAAGAAATTTTCTTGATTTATTTTATATGAAATAAATAAGTAACTGAAAAAATAAATGTAAATCAATTACACTTTTGCATTTTAGATAAACTATACTTGCGGAATTCTGGTCACCGGATTTCATGCGCCACTTCGTTAGTTCATTACACATAAAACTTTAGATAAAAAAAATTTTCCGTTGTTAATTAAAGTTCTAGACATGTACTTTTAGGTAATAAATAACATTTTGTCGTTCTACATGCACAGAAGCTTTAGACCAGATCTACATTCTTTGATTGATTCTGCAAAATATAGACATTTCAGATGTTATCGCCAATCTAAATGGATGAGTTATATCTATTATTTGTTATCGATTTATAAATATCGCAGTTTTTGTACTAATTTGAAGAAAACGAACGTAACGTAATCCGATCACAATTTTATTTATTTACATTTAATTTTATTGAAAAATATCCTAACCATATTTGATGTTAATCACATTAAATTTATTTTGTTATGATAATTGTGAGGTTAATTTTTTTATACAGCGCTATGCTACAATTCATTTAAATATTTTAAAACATATAATCAATCTTCGAAGGAGAAAAACATTTCATGAATCTCCAAACTGTTTACACTTAAATTCTCATCATATACAAAACTATTAATTCTTTTATTTTTTGTAAAAATTAATACAGATAAACATACAGTTTTATGCGAAGAACAGAAGAAAGCTGTCCTCTCTGTTGGTCCTTTAGGTGTTTATCATTTAGTTTGGATCAGAAGCATTTTATATTTGTTACTAAATCCCGTTAACAGATTTCATATTTCAGCTCTGTTTATCAACTAAATTACATTTACAAATTTTAGTAAAAAAAAAACTATATATAAATTTAAATTGTAATTTTTTCAAACATGATTTTACTTGTGGAACTACAAAAAAAAGGGAAAAAAAGATCACAACTGTTTAAAAGTAATATGTTAACATTATATATGATCTCATAAAACAACGATCAATGAATATAGCCTTTTTGCATTTCTTATGCAAAGCAAAAATTAGACATTACTTTTATCCCGAAATATCTTGAGAAGTTCTCTTTCTTGTATCTCGAGCAGCTATTTTTTGTACATAAAACTGATTAAAGTCCAACCTATAAAAAAAAAGTAAATAAACTATGATTATTTCTAACAACGTATATAAGTAGGTCATCTAACAAGTAAATCTACATAAGTGTAATTCATTAATTTTAATGAAAAATAATTTAATTGTATTATTCAGTGTACCTTTTCATTTACTCTGATGCGATTCCAAGTGAGATTTTGACTTTTTCAGAGTAGGTTAACTGATTCCAATAAAACTTTGGAATTTTGTTATATATAGTAAGACTAATCTTTAACCCGGGTGTCTAACAAGGATTCAGAAAAAAATTCCCTGACTTTTCCCAGACTCCTCCCTGACATTTTTTTATTTTTCCCTGACTTTTTAATAACTTTATTTCTGCTTTTTTTTGGACACAAATATGGTTATTGACATATTTAACAATAAATTAATTTCTAATGGTAGTAACAAATGGTAATAAAAACCATTCAAATTTTTTTAGATTAAAAAATTTATAAATTCACAAAAAATTTTAATTTTTATAGAAATTTACAGAAATTTCCCTGACTTTGAATGAAATTTTTTTGAAATTCCCTGACATTTCCCTGATTAACAAAATTCCCTGACTTTTCCCTGACTTACCAGTGTTTTCTTTAATGTTCCAAAGGAATTCAATTGTAAATGCAAATTTAACTTATTTAATTTTAATAATTTACGAGTATAAACAATTGCGATTTCTGCTAGTTGACGTGCAGACGACATTGCGCACGCAGCATTCTCACGTATCCAATTTAGTCCACGAATCACGTCAGCTGGTTACAGGAGAATGCTGCGTGCGCAATGTCGTCTGCACGTCAACTAGCAGAAATCGCAATTGTTTATACTCGTAAATTATTAAAATTAAATAAGTTAATAACATTAAAGAAAACACTGGTAAGATCATTTTAGCGTTTAAGTGATTGAATTTTAGATTGTCGCGTGAAATTTATTCATTTATTATTTAATAATTTATTTAGTTGTAAAATTATAAAAAATTGTTCTCAAAGAGATTTATTCCTCTCAGTTTCCTTGATATTTTAAAAAAAAGTAGACCTCAATCCGATTATTAGAACGGAAGATATAGCAGTTTAAAATTTTTTGTTATTATTGCAAATCTTGTAAACTAACAAATATTTTAAGCTGAGATTTACGTTAAAGATTAGTCTTACTATATGTAACAAAATTCCAAAGTTTCATTGCAATCGGTTAACCTACTCCGAAAAAGTCAAAATCTCACCTGGAATCGCACTCTGTTAAAGGCAGGTCAAAGTCAATGCGATTTTCCCATTGAAGCTCTATGTAAAAATTGAATCGGAGTCAAATCACGTCCACCGTAAATAAAATTTTTTTTACATTTTTGGAAAAATAAAAGCAATTATGAAAATCTATAGCTCAAAACGAACCAAACAAACACTTTAAAACGTTTTTCAAAATTTTAAATTTGTATAAACTTTCTTTTTAATAACAAATTTTTGTATCATTTTAAAAAAAAATTAATAACTCAAATTTCGTTTGCTAGAAATTATGGGCAATTTTTTAGGTAGTCAATGAATATCCACTCTTTTAATTAAACTTAATTGTGAAAAAAAATTTCAAAATTTTTTAATTTTTAATAACAATTTTTTATTTCTAATTATAACCGGAGATTTTGAATTTTTTCCCCTTGACAGTGATTTAAAATGAAAAAGTAGGATTTAAAACAGCGTAAAGCCTACAAATCTCAATCGATTTTGGAATTTTTTTTTAAAAATAATCTTCAATAAAATTGTAAAAGATCCCTCGAGCCCGATTTTTGATTTTCAATTCGCATAAATAATCATATTATTATAAACGAATTTGTAAAAATTGCTTTTTTTTTTAAAAAAATCTACAAATTTTGAGATTTATATCTTAAATTCTTATTTGAGATAATTACTTTGATCGTTTTAAATAAAAGTAGTGACCCAGGAAAATTTTGGGTCACTGATCACAAATTCGATGTTTGTTTCTCAAATATTCACTACAGCATAGCATATCCAATAAGGTGGACAATTTTTTAAAAATTAAATTCGATTAAAAATTGTTACTTACAATTAGGTTTTTTTTGTTACTGTTTACGAATTGTACGTCAGTCTTTTTAAAATTTTAAATGACTTTTAACAAACCTTTTTTAAGTGAATCTAATTAAATTTTAAAATTCGTTTGCCATATTTAATCTGCCATTTTGAATTTTGAAAAACTGACAGCGAATTCGTGATTAGCGACCGCGAAAATCCCCCCACTAATCAGATTCAAGCGAATTTAAACGATTTTTACAAATTCGTCCGCCATTTTAAATTTTGAAAAACTGACATCGATGTCACGGTGGTACCTAAAAAGTTTGAATTTTGAGTTTTGTTTTAAAATTTACTTCTTGTAAATTTTAATACAATAGGGTAAGTCCACGTCAGAAATATCAGAATCTGCAAGTGGTTCTTCGATTTTAATGATACTTGGTAAAATTATAGCTTTATATAAGAGCAATGTGTAAGTAAAAGGAATTTTTAAAATATCTAAAATTGTAGGAGTTAGGGTCATTTGGGGAAAATGTAAACAAAGGGTAAATGTAAACAGCAGATATTGCAGCTTAATTTACAGATTTAAAATTAAGTCCGACCCCAATATTTTAACCTCAGCTCACCTGCAACAGGTTCTGAGTATTGCCAATTTTTTTTTCGACAATTGTCAAAGACATACTCCAATTTGTCGCTTAATGCATGAAAGATTGAAAATCAAAGTTTTACAGTTTCAGTATTTTGTCTCGCATTTGAATAAAAATGAACTAAAAATTCAAACTAAAATTTCTAATTATTCCTTATGAATCCCTTAACAAAAGCTAGCTTTGATTTTTTAATTTCGTCAATTCAGTTAATAGATAATTAAGTGTTTACATTTACCCCGAGAATTCGAAAACTCGGGGTAAATGTAAACAGAATTTCTTCTGCATTTTAAAAGAAAATAATTGAATAAATTTGCTTCTATTTCACAATTACATTATTTTGGCCCTGTAAAATTACATAAAAAACGAAATTGGATCTTCTTTTATATCTCCTTCGTGTTAGTCAGTTGCAGGTATAGACCTGCATAGTATTGCATAGTGCATTTACGTGTTTAAAATATAGGAAAGCGATTCTTCACGATTGGTGAATAAAACTCAGGTACGTAGGAATCCTAGAATAAGAGTGAGTGATGGATTGGTTGATTGATTGATAGATTGATTGATGAATTGATTGATTGGACGATTGATTTATGGATTGGTTGATTGAGTAATTGGTGGATTGATTGGTAGATTGTATTGATTGGTGGATTGGATTGATTGGTGGTTTGATTGGTTGATTGGATAATTGATTTATAGATTGGTTGATTGAGTGGTTGATTGGTGGATTGCTTGATTGATTGACTGATTGATTGGTGGATTGATTGCATGATTGGTTGATTGAGTGATTGATTGGTGGATAGATTGGTTGCTTGGATGATTGATTTATAGATTGGTTGATTGAGTGATTGGTGGATTGATTGGTTGATTGATTGAGTGATTGATTGATTGGTGGATTGATTGGATGATTGATTTATGGATTGGTTAATTGACTGATTGATTGATTAGACAACACAATTATACTTTTTTATTTTCTTTATTAGGTTTTAAGAATGCCGCGAAAGAACGTTAAGAAAAAATCACCTTCTTCTTAGAATTCTTCTGAACTAGAAAACGCAGTACATGCTGTAGAGAACAAAACGATGACCTACAACAGAGAAGCATAGAAAGCATACGGAGTTTCCATGGCCGTAATTTTTCACAGAATCAAGGGTAGAAAGTGTAAAATTGAAAAACTGATTCCAGGTCGTGCTTGTGAATTACCCATAGATATAGAAATGCTCTTAGTGAAGTGTCTGAAAGCTAGGGCTCAGATAGGATATCCTTGCGACAAACTAGAAGTTAAACTTCTTGTGCAGTAATACGTTATTGCAAATAACGTTCAAACATGATTTAAGGATAATTTTCCAGGGGATGATTGGTACTATGGATTAATGAAGCGAAACCCATCCCTTTCATTCAAAAAACCCGAAATTTTTCAGAAAGAAAGAAAAAGTGCTCGAGACCCATTCGTTGTTTATGATTTTTATGATAAACTGAAGAATGTCTACTCAACGTCTGGCATTGATGAAAATTCAGCAGCTTTAGTATTTTATGCAGATAAAACCGGGTTTGCTACTGATCCTTCACGTATGAGAGCAATAGGTGAGAAAGGACAATGTTTAAATAGGCTATCTGGTGGATCAGGACGTGAGGCTACATCAGTCCTTGTGTGTGTGTCAGCAAGAGGAGATTTCATGCTGCCTCTTATTGTGTACAAAGAACAAGCAGTTCAGCCACGTTGGACATCTTCAGATTCATTTCCTGGCACCATGTACGCTGCTACTGGCAATGGTTAGATGGAAGAAGTGACTTTTTTTGATTGGTTGTCTAAAATGTTTGTACCGGCTCTCAATGATATTCGGAAAAATGATAATTTGAAAGACAAAACAGCTATTCTGTTTTACGACGGCCACGCTAGTCATATAAGCATCCGAATTATTGAGCTAGCTATCGAAAGTAACATTCACCTCTTGAAATTTCCGAGTCATCTTACCGATCGGATTCAACCCCTTGATAAATGCGTGTTTGGTCCCATGAAAACAGCATGGGACAAAATGTTAGTTGATGATGGGAAAAAAAATGGGACACAAGAATTCCCGGTTGGCAAAACACGAGTTTGCTAAATTATTAGGTAAACTGTGGAAAGCATTCAATCGCAGAAACATCATCAGTGGTTTTAATTCCACCGGATTGTTTCCCTTAGATGAGACGAAAATTCCTACAGATTTATTTGAAGCAAGAGCATTGGCCCGTTTTCATCACCGAAAAAAAATCCAGAATCTGCTCGATTCTGCTGGATCCGAATAAGAAGAAATGCCTTCTTTTCAAAATCATTTGGGAGATGATGGTTTTTTTAA